TGAAGCTTTTAACGTTTTTCAGTCCGGCTGGTCTTTTAAACAGTTAATTTTTAGACTTTTGCGACTCCAGTATTTTCCAAGGGCAAGAGAGGCGCTCTTGTCTAGGGATACTGTTACTTGGTTCAGTTGTCGGGACATCGCTACTTTATTTCTGACATAAACATTATTAACATCGATAAATGTTTGTCACAGCGAGCTAATTATTACCCTCCGTGAAAATGGGCCTTAAAATATGCGCATCTACGTAAGTAAAACAAGCAAGCGGTCTAAGTTGTTAGCCTGAGTATTCGCGCAGGTGTTAAAGAGAGGAACACTCTAGTTATGAAATAAAATTTAATTTTAGTTCTTATTTTGGATTGGTCAATTTGAAAGCTTAAGAGGTGTAAGGCCTGAGTCAAATGTATGTTAGGAGCGAATGAATGATTGGCAATATCTCCCGTTAGGAGACATAGAACAAGATGAATTTTTCTTCAAAAGTAAATCTTGAGGTTTTCTAGTGCCTTAACTTTTAATTATGGTCACATGACGTGACAGGTGACCAAAAATTGAAAATGAAGGAAATTGGCAAGTTGGTGGTGAATTTACTTTGTTTGGATAGACAAATTGGCTTTTCTGAAAGAGGATAAACACACTTAACTTTCTACGTTTGGAATGAATGTACGCGAAGTTTAAAATTAAAGTTTTAAATAATTCAAGATTAAATTTGAGTATTTAAAAAGATGTTTTCCCTCATAATATCATAGGTGACGAATTACTCCTTACTTTTGGCTCGAAATTTCAACGATAATTTGTAATTTCACATGTGAAATTACAAAATTGGCATGGCAACCTTCCGCACGTCTGGCGATGTACGTTCCGTACGTCTCGATGGCGACAAAGTTTTAAAATGTCATGAATGAAGATGCTAGGGCATAAAAAGACGCTTTAGAAAACCTGAACAAACGAAAGAGCACGTCAAGAAGGATTCTATTCCTCTCGGGGTAAAGCGTCGCCGAAGTATTTAGAGTTCCTATCCCAAGGGCGACCTCCGGGGAGCACTCGACAAAGTTTTATAAGGGGAAACGGGAGGCTCCGCTCCGAATAACGCCATATCACGTGTCTCCAGGAGGGCAAGAGTGAGAGGGTATTTCTCACCAGAGCTTCTCCGTTTGTAACGCCGTACTTACGAACCACAATTATGGTGAAACAGCTGTCAACGGCTACGATAAGCCCGCTGTTCTACTGGTGCCTTATTTGTGTCTTGCAATGCAACTTAAATGGTAGCACTCTTGTTTTTATCTTTGATGATTGCCGGCTTTCATAATCAGTCTCGTCTACTAACCTCAAACTCTGTGGGGTGCCACCCACACCCCAGATTCTATAGAATTCTCTAGAAAATTCGCCTCGTGATGACGCTGATTGCCATAGAAAATTTCATTGATAATGCATCCGACGCAGACGTTCAGCTATGCGCAAAGTTTGGAACCGGTCAAACTCTTAGCTATGTACAAACGGACGCAACAACTCCCAACATTGTTGGCCCAACAATAGACTGCAAGACAGTCCGTATTTCTGCGTATTCAAGTGCGCGCGAGAGTCAAACAAAAGGTCTGGAACGAGGCTGAAAACAGAGAGCGAGACTTTTTTTTCTATCACCTCACACGCCCTACGGGCGGACGTGTGGGGCTCGCGCGCTTCGCGCGCGTAAGACCCTTACGCCACGCTTTACCGATTTCTTTACTGATTTTGAGAAAAAAACCCGACTGTTTGGTAGTGTAGCCCAACAATGTTGGGGGTTGTTGTGTCCGTTTGCCTCAACCAATCAGATCTCATTTGGCGCGGAAACTAGTTTCTGAGGCAAAACTTAGGGCAGAAATATGATATTAAGCAGATTATGACACTTCTTTGGGGTAATTTTTGCCTCTTCGTTCATGTATCACGGCTATTACTCCAGTCTTAAAAGACTGGATATTTATCTACATTTTATTTGAATTCAAACACAGTTACAATTTTTTTTATTCTCAGGAGGTTATTCGTCAAACTCATCACTTCATATGTAAGTTTCTGGAGTCGGATTTTCAATGGCAGGATTAGATCGCGCAAAATTCGTCTTCAATTGATTTCAATTTTTTTTGTTTATAGTTGTCATTTTAAGACCAATTTTACTGAAACTGCATTTTGAAAAATTCCAATCCAGAGTCAGTCAGTTGTGAAAATTTTGTGACGACCAGAGGTAAATCGCTTTAAAGGCGATTGAAAATTATCAATAGCTCTCTGCGAAACTGTTTCCAACACCTTAAGGAGGTTCGCAGCCATTTTTCAAGGTCTTACACTCTTCGTGTTTGATGCTTCATAACTTTGGCTGGAATGCATGTACGGAAAAGCCAAATTGCCAATTTTCACTACTGAAAGAACTGAACTGAACCTTAAGACAAAATTTGGATTGGCTGTGGCACTGTAAATCATTAGTTTTGATGATTAAAAAGAAAAAAGTGAAAAAAAAAACACATTTTTTGAGCTG